GGGGGTCAGACCAGATGATCATAATGGTCCCTTCTGACCTTAAAGTCTATGAGTCTATGAGTGTACCATGGTAGGTGCTTGGACATAGATTCTCCTGCCTCTTTGGAGAATCAGCCCTGCTCTCAATTCAGGCATGTGTTTGAGGTTTCGGCAAGGAAAGGGTGTACTGCAACCATGCCTCCCCTCCAGCCCCTCCCTCTAGAATCTTTGTTTTGGCCCCACCCACTTGTGAAGCTTCCCAAATGCAACTCTCTTCCTCCTGCCTGCAAGAGACAGTTTTATCTCTTACAAGTGTAGCAGGAACAACATTCTTTAATAGAGTGCTTTGGATTGGTAAGTCACCCCACTCTGTTCCCAAAAGGTCAGCTGCATGGACTCTCCCCTCCAGGAGATTTGACCCCCCCCCCATCTTCCCTTAAGACATGATCCGCAGGTGAGGGGTCTGGCATTTCAGATGCAGATCCTTCACCCTCCTTCTGGGGAAATGCCTTCCTACAAAAGGTGGGCAGACCATCCTCTCCCCCCTCACCTTCCATCTGGACTTCCCTTTCTGGGTTCCCCCCTGAGGCAGACACTCCTGTGTTCCCCAAAAGGGAAGGTGACTCTGATCCAGCTGTGGGCTCACAGCTACAGCTATGACAGAGACCCTTCCCTGGCCAGCAAATTCCCCCCCCTTTCTCCCTCCCTCCCCCCCCCCCAAAAAAAAAACCTCAGGTTGGGTTTGCTTCCAGCTACAGAGCCCTTTGGGTCTGTTCCCACCACAGTAGTCATCAGGACCTCAACTTCTATCTCTGGGATACATGTCCCTGTGCACCCTGGGACCAGGCCTGTCCCCTGCTGAACTACAACTTCCTGGCAGTCAGCAGGCCTCCCTGTTACAAGGTGTACTATCTCCTTCCCCAGGGAGATGATCACAGGACAGGAGCTGGCTTTATCCAGCCCTTCCTGCAGGGACCTGCCTTGAGCCCTGGGGCTACAGGAACTGGTCACGACCATCCCTGCCCCCAATGGCCCATTTTCCACTGCTACTGAGGAATTAGAGACACTCCTATTTCCCCAGCAGCACATGTGACTTTACCCTCCCTTCTGGGGCTTTCAGCGCAAGATTCCTTCTTGTTGCTAACAAACCCTGGGACAGATTCTGCCACCTCAAAAGTCATTCCCTAGTAGAAACAGTTGCAAAATCGTGTGCCACCGCTGCAACAGTCAGTTCAGCCTGCAAATCACCAGTTTCTGTGTACCTTAGCTAAAGGTGCAAGGACCTTTATAACCTCTCACCAATTCTAATTCTGCCATTTTTCCTGGTAACACATCCTTCTCATCGGTCAGATCCCTCCTGACCACAGAAATCTCTGCACCAGGGAAGGTGGAACAGAATGAAAATAAGATGATTATTTTACAGAATTCTCTGCCTGTGGGCTTTTCTTATATTGATCTCAAGCTAAATGAGTGTCATTTGAATTAACACTGCTACTTAATGAGTGTAGTATGAATTAGTCTATTGTATTCTGTTGATCAGATACTTGAAAATCTGCTTTGATTTAATATTGTATAGCTCACTGAATTTAAGTGTCTCTTTTCTATGTAGCTTGCATGTCATGTAAACGGATGACTAGATGCCATACTGAATTGTTAATTAAAAGGTTTGATAGGCTGCCTGCGGGCCGTAGTTTTCCCACCCCGGTTTAAAATAAATCACCAGCTGAATAGTGTAATTCTACTCCTTTCATTTTTTTGGATGACAGTGGTGGCCTAATGTAGTACCATGCATTCTGTGTTCAGTAATTACAAAGCCAGTGTGTTACGCTGAAGGGCTCTTTAATGAGGAGTATGAAACACATACAAGAATCTCTTTGTAAAAACCAATGGAGCCATTTTGCCCTGCAACATGTTTGTCCTGTGACTGATAGTTTCTCACTGCCGTTAAAATATTTGGAATAATTTTATTTGGAATACTGTCAGAGCACAACTGTATTCAGAGCTAATTACATAAGAAGTCCGTGTATAATGACTGATATCACTTGTATTCCTCTCAACTGCCAGTTGTATGCATTATTGTATTGGTATTATGAATAAATTGCTGCCTGATCGATTCAGTTGTCACAATGGCTATTTTCACCTTACAAAGAGCCCAGTAAGGAATGGTATTAAACACAATTATTAGGCTGCAGATATACATATACTTGGGGAAGCTGTTAACCTAATTTATAGCTCATCTTGTTAGAAAACCAAAGCCATTGCTTAGCTTCTTGTCTTGTTCTTTATTAAACGTTAGTATTTAGGTTTTTCAAATAAAAATGGCTTTAGTGTTATATGAAAACCTGAACTTTCCTGTGACTGTTTAACCAACAATGAGCATTTTAGAAATATGCATTAGTCCTACCAAACCAAATTATCCCATTGCTCACTATCCTTTGTCTTTTAAAGTTTGATTGTCCAACTGATGATAGTTCAGTGACTTTAAACTGTTAGGCTGTGAGTTTCTTTACTAACTATGCTCTTAGGAGAGTCACAATGGGGACTATCACCTTTGATCGAACTGAAGCATGAATGAAGAGCTGTGAATGATCTCCAAAGCATATCTCTCCTAGTCCAATAAAAGATTACCTCATCCTTTATTTATTATTTATTTTTAGGAAGTGTTGCTTCCCTGTGGTGGGATCCTGTTCAACGGCTACTCTTCTCTGGAGCATCTGATCACAGCATTATTCTGTGGGATATTGGTGGAAGGAAAGGCCGAACATTGCTGCTTCAGGGCCATCAGTATGTAGCAGTGACTTCCTGTTTTATTTTTTTCCAAATACTTAACTAGTTTGTGGGGTTTCAGAAAGACTAAATGTGACAACTCCCAAGTATTGTGAATAATATCTAGACAAGATAGCATGTTTCAGAATACTCTTTTAAGACTGTGATGAACAGGGACTGGGGGGAACAAATCTCAGAGCAACATTACTGTCATAAGAGGCATTTTTGTTCTCTTGGCTATGACTTAAATGTGGGAAGTGATGAGATCAGAGAATAAAAATAGTTCCCAGAATAAAGAGGTGGGTGACAGTACTGAGACTACCCTTGTTTGCAGTGTTGTAGCTGTGTTCCAGCTAATATTGGGAGTTTTTGCTGCATGGAGGTAAAGTCCCACTGCTATAATGTACCCTTCATGAGGATGCTTGTGCAGGATGGGGGTGGAAATGTACAATGACATCTGCATAGTAGTGTGAATATGTACAATCCTTTATTCTAATGCTTCCTCTTCATCTTAGACACTAGTCATGAAATCACAGAATTATTTTATTGGCATAGTTAGTATTTTTAAAGTATCTATGCTGACTTCCTGCACTTCTCACAAGTGCACATGAATTCCCACTCTTCTGTGCATTGACATGCAACTGTTCACTTTTACATATTGGCTACAATAGTGTAATTTGACGTTATGTGACTGGAGGACCTTCCACTGCTTCTTTCACTCCTCCATGTATCCTGTTGGGAAGATTGTGTGTATCAACTATTAGTTTTTCCTGTTTAATCTCACACTGGACAGATGGTGGCAGAATTTTTACAAAGTGTGGGGAAAAATCATTCCATTTCAGAAAGAAAAAACACTGCTTTTGAACTGAAAACTGCAAAACAGTGAAAATTCGATGTGTGACTAAAAGCGTGGAGATCCACAACAGATTTCCATTCTGGATAGCTATATCAAAAATAGATTCTTGTTTTTCTGTAAGTCAGTTTTCCTCCTTGAAGAAAGCTGATATTCACACAGTGAGTGAACACCATGCTTAAAGGAAACAAGAACTTGTGGGTGGGGAAGAGATTAAGAAATTGAATCCCAATAATTAGGCTTGGCAGGATTAGATTTTTATTGGTAAATGTCCGTAAACGCCAATTTCTACTACACATGCACAAACCAATGAAAAAATACTTCCGTCAGTAATAATGAAAATTTACAGGGAAGCAGCATTTTTTTGTACTTTGCCTGAAAACTTATTAGTTTGGTTTAAAGATATTTACCTCATTTGACATGTGATGTTGATGATTTGTTTGAACAGTTAAAGCTTTAACTTTTTGAATCAACATCTACTGTTAAATAATTATTCTGACCACCCTGTGGTCTGACTCCTCCATAATTTCCTGCAACTGAAAAAACCTAAATAGATGAAAATAAATATTAATCTTTTAAATTGAATTCTGCCAACCCTAACAACTCGTACATCAGCAAAAGGGTTTCCAGTTGAATCTTTAAGGACATTATTCCTTGATGACTATTTTCTCACAATTGTCTCCTAATAAGTTGGTATTCAGTTGACATATGAGTGTGGATGAAGACGGGCGTATTTGCAGTTCTGCTCAGTTCAGACACCTGTCACCTGAGATGCATTCCATTTGTTGTTAGGCTTCACTAGCAAAACACTGACATGATGCTGTATCTTCAGCTTACAGGTCAAACCTGCTGCTTCCTATACTAACACTTTGTTCTATAGCAGCTACTTCAGTGCTGAAATAACACTTGGCAATGAGGGTACCAAGCCCAGCTTCTAAACTTTGATTCTCCGTTTCAGGCACTTTAGGTTACTACTTAGTGGTCTTGCTTTAAAATAGTTCTACAGCTGACCATGCCTGGCTACTGACATTGTTTTCAGCTTTCCAGGTGACTCTTAAAATTCAAACCCAGACTTGTTAGGGATGTTGCTTTTGCTTAAATGTTTGGAAGAATAAATAGTGTTCACTTTGTTTACAGTGACAAGGTGCAGGCCATTTGTTACATTCAGCTGACGCGGCAACTGGTCTCATGTTCAGCTGATGGAGGAATTGCCGTTTGGAATATGGATATCAGCAGAGAAGAGGTAAGTGCAAATGCTAGGTCAAAGGATCTGGTACTGCCACTTTGTGAACTCTGCAATGGCTATGCTTTCCAGCTTATTCTGTCCTAGATCAGGTCACCCCAAGTTAACCAAGCATTGGTAACTGGCCAGGAATCAGAGCTCAGTGCCTCAGCTTCCATGAAAAATATCAGATTGCCATAAAGATAAGGGCAGTGACAAAGTCCACGAAGACCGTAGAGCTTTGTTCAGTGCAAGCCTGGCCATGGGGACGAAGGTGAAGCTTTGCATGTTGAAACCTCAAGTCCCCACAGACCACACTTCCATATTAAAGACAAGGATGGACCACATAGTAGGTCTCTGCCATGTTTGACCTAAAGGTACCCTCTCCACATCTGTTCTAGTTAATATAGTTGGAAAGAATCCTGTAGGGTACTACAAGAGGCAACACCCTATTGCAGACTGTATTGAATTCCCTGTAGGGTTATGCAGACTTGACAAAATATTTGCTCTTAGTTGTCTCCAGGAAAATGGTACTGTAGTTTAGCCCTTCCCCTCTCCTCAAACAGAATATTAAGTATAGAAGTCACTCACTGAGTAGCCAGATTTTACAGAGCCCTTGATTACTAAATATAAGTAACATACAATGAAATATTGTTTATGCAAGGCTTGAGACCCTGTTCTGTGTTAAATGTTCCTTAGTGTATTGTGAAATAAAGTGCTATAGAAAAATCTATGTAGCCTGTGAAGCTGTAGTTTCTTGCCACCAGTACATTAATGCTGTCAGGCCAACCAAAAAATGGCTTGGTGATAGGCTGCTCTTATTGCTTTTTCTCAGTTCTGTCTCTGCACACCATGTTTTCTTTGTAAGGGATCTTCAAAGCCACAAGCACTGTTGTCTTCATTATACATATTGTGGTAGCACCTAGGAGCCCATGTTGGACCAGAAGCCCTGGTTCTTGGTGCTGTACAAAGGGAACAGATAAGTGACTGCTGCTGAGTGCTAAACAAAGGGCTTGCCTACACGATGTGATGTAGTGCATTGGTGTAGTCCTGTTGACATCAGCATGCGTGAGAACTTCTAAGGTCCATGCAGGTCCATTAGTGCATGGCATGCTGGTGCACAGTAGAATCTACACCTCTAGCTGGTGTGCACTAACGCACAGCATGGACAAGCCCATAGATTCCTTTTCCTCCAGAATCTGTTAACCGGTTCAGGATCGGTGTAGGACCATGTCTACACTACCATTTTTGTTAGTAGAACTTCTTTCGCTCATGAGTATGAAAAAATCACACCCCAAGCGATGTAATTTACACTGGCAGAAGCACTGGTGTGGACAGTGCTATGCTGGCGGAAGAGCTTCTCCCGCCAGCATAACTACTACTGCTCGTGGAGGTGTTTTTTTTGTTTGTTTGGGTTTTTTTGGTTTTTTTTTAATTTCCATGGGAGAGCTCTCTTGCATCGGCACAGAGCAGCTATACAAGTGATCTTACAGCAGCGCAGCTGCATCAGTACAGCTGTGCCGCTGTAAGCTCACTAGTGTAGACATGGCCTTAGTCACTACATGGTGCTGTAATAGAGTTAAATACACTGCCTCTGACGATTCCTCTAGAGCAGTGGTTCCCAAACTTGCTCCGCCCCTTGTGCAGGGAAAGCCCCTGGCGGGCCGGCCGGTTTGTGTACCTGCCATGTCCGCAGGTTCGGCCAATCGCGGCTCCCAGTGGCCGCGGTTCACTGCTCTAGGCCAATAGGAGCTGCTGGAAGCGGCGCGGGCCGAGAGACGTACTGGCCGCCGCTTCCAGCGGCTCCCATTGGCCTGGAGCAGCAAACCGTGGCCACTGGGAGCCGCGATTGGCCGAACCTGTGGACACTGCAGATACACAAACTGGCCCGGCCCGCCAGGGGCTTTCCCTGCACAAGCAGCGGAACAAGTTTGGGAACTACTGCTCTAGAGCAGTGAGGAGATGATTTTATGGAGCTTGTTTTTTTGTTTACCAAGTTAAAGAACAAAGTATAGACTAAGCAGTCTTTATGCACTAGAGCTTTTTAGACCCTTGTTGACAGCATGGTGAGGAAATTCCCAAAACTAGTGGCATAGATTTTTAGTGGGAGTTTGGATTAAACTTTGGTAGTTTTTAATGTATTATCCATTGATTTATCTATTTTCTGCCGTTAAATGGAGATTGAGAAATAGAAGCAACTTGAACCAGTAGTGGAAACCCTAATGGGCAGGAGATGAAAACAGTGGCCCCTGAAACTTATCACATCATTATTGAAATGGAGACAGTCTTTCATTTTGACTGGATCCACACACACACACACACCTTAATTGATTTGTCAACACTCCTGGGTAATTAAGAATTTGCTAATCTCCTTTTATTGATGCATCTATTGTAGGAAGATCCACCAATGTGATGGAAAAGGGAATGTTAATGGATATCACTTACTGTTTAGTCTATTGGGGAGATGAAGCATTATGGAATGTGGAGAGATCCTGATTCAGCAGTCAGTGTGGGTAGTCAGGGTTATTCTGAAATTTGAGATGGGAAATGACTCACCATAGAACAATGTCTTTTTCTATTCTCTTGGGCATAAGTGCAATATTGCAGTGGTGTGGAATTTAAGGGAGTTAAACTAACCTTGAAATAGCTTCCAGGATATATGGTCCTTATCAGATGCATGGGAATATTTACCCAACTCATAAGGAGATGCCCTAAAACTGTTATGTATCGTCCCACAAATGTACCTTACTAAAAAGTGCAAGTATTAACTTCAGAGTTATGCTTTGAATACTCTGCTATAGCACAGTAACATCTGAGAATGTTAGTACTACTTAGCATGTCTATAGCTCATGTCATCCAGAGAGCCCAGTATAGTCAAGCATCATTTCCAGATAGGGAGGCAGAGGCCCATACTTACTTGGAGTGAGGGCAAGTGAGTAGGTGGGATGCAGCTGATGAAAGTTCTCTTAATTACTTTGTGCTGCAGCCCCAAGAAAAGGACATGATGAGAGTGAGAGCTTCTGAGGGAGTAATTGATTCACTGTAGAGTTTCTGTATCTCAGATTACTTTATAGCCATTCAGAATCATCCTGGCAGCAAGACAGAGGGATCTGCAACTCCTGCAGCAATCTAACAAATCAGATGCGTCTTAGCAAGTTTTCTCATTAGGGCAGTAACAAGAAATGCTATGGGGTAAAAACTGTGTGAGAAGAGCACAAAGATCTTGATAACTATAATTATGACTCTATCTTCTGCACACAGCTCAGCACTGAATTCTCAAATTGCTTTTTGAGTGTGGCCAACTTTCGCACTGAATGTAAAGCAAGTCAGGTTTTCTTGTGTATTGTTTGTAATGTCCATAGCTGATAGAGAGGGCTCCTCTTGATATTTATATAAATATTCACTGTACATCTATCTTCATTTAAAAACAAAAATGAAAACCTGAGCTGTTCATAACCTTGTTGATTTGAATATGTGCTAAGAGTATGTATTTCTCTCTTCCCCCGCTAGGCTCCTCAGTGGTTAGAAAGTGATTCTTGTCAGAAATGTGAACAGCCTTTCTTCTGGAATATAAAGCAGATGTGGGACACAAAGACACTAGGGTTGAGACAGGTGAGGATGTGGTTGTAAATCACTCATGGTGGTGCTGTTTGTTGTGTAGAGAATTTGGTGTCGGTGTTCTATCTTTATACCCAACCCCTTCTTCCGCACTTCTAAACTTCAACTCCAATCCATTTTTGAAAAGGAAAAAATGAGTAGAAAGACATAATATAAAGCAGTAGAGGTCATTGGTGTCTTCATTGCCAGCAAAGTATTGTGACTAAGGAAATCTCAACTTGGTGCTGAGAAGTTACCAAGTACAGTGAAGAAAAACATTAAATTGGGTTGTCCTGTGTGGGGATAATGGGGTTAAAAGAAAGTAAAACTTGTTTTGAGCACAAGTGTGCATGTAAGAGAGAACTACAGTTAGTAAACACTGAATGCATGAAATGGCCTAAGAGCTTATACTGGCAATTTACTACCAAAATGTTAGCCTTAAATTGAGCATGTTGCGGTGTGCTGAAGCACTAATGGCCTTGCCCTCCTTCAGTTATGCCAGAGTGTGAATCTCTTGGAAATGTTGAAAGGAACTTTCACCTCTTAAATGTTCTAGGGGAAATCCACTCGCCCCCCCTACCCACCACACACACCCCTCTTGATAGTGAAGGCAAGAGTATAATGAACATCTTTCATTTGTGAGGCACTTGCCCTCAGATCTGTTGGAGAAAAGAGATGTAGAGTATATGGGTAAAATCCGGGCCCTATTGGAAGTCAATGGCAAAATTCCCTGGGGCTGGCATATAACCCAGGGATTCTTGGTCCTTGGTTACAACTGGTTCTGAAAGGTAACTATCATAGGAAGTTACATAATTTTTTTGGTCACCCCTCCTGTTGATTTGGGAGTTCTCAAGTAACACTTCATGTCCTGAAATGTCCATCTTATTTTAATTCTCCTGTGAAGCATCACTGCAGGAAATGTGGTCAAGCAGTGTGTGGCAAGTGCAGCACTAAGCGGTCCAGCTACCCAATCATGGGCTTTGAGTTCCAGGTCCGTGTCTGTGACTCTTGCTTTGAGTCCATCAAAGATGAAGAGTGAGTATGCTTAAAGATCTGATGTTGTTCCATTACTGACTTTATACACTAAAGGCTGAAACTTATGGAGGAACCTAACTGGTGGCTTTAAGTTCTCTGTATCTGATTGGTTACAACTCTGGCAGATGTGGCTCATCTGTATGTAATCAGCCTTTTATTAAATGCCAGAAACTACATACTATGTTTATAATAGATGTGTAAATAAGCAAATCTCACTTATGTATCCGATACCTTCAAGTTCTGATATGCAGCCTTCTCACAGGAAAGAATATACATAATTTTTTCCATGCTAGTACCTTATTAACCTCTATCTTTCACAAGGCAGCGAAGAACATTGATGACTCAGTCAGGTTAACTTGCTTGTATTACATTGGTGGTTCTTTTGGGGCTGCTTTGCACACATTTTGAAGGGAGAAGAGGGACAGCAGGCACTCACTTAATCTAGTAACCAATACAGCTGGATGAAAAGTTGACTGACTTGTTGGAAAGTAGACTTTACAGCTGTTAAATGTTAGAAGCAAAGAACTGTATTCTTCTCTACCATGTTCCTACTTTTCTTTGTGCTGTGTTGAGGGACTTCCACAAATCAAGTGAGAGCCCAGGTAAGCATGTGTCCCTCCTGTAATTAGTGTACTCTGGGCAGAGCTTACTGATTATTTCATTGTCATGTAGGTAGGCATTGTTGTCAGGTTTGACTTACTAGCTTTTCGGAAATTTCCCTATAAATGCTTTATTTTGTATTGCTGCAATGATACCATCTGGTTTAAATGTCTAATAGATGGTTTTTATTTAAACTGTTTTCTTTTGCTAGTCGTACTTCCCTGGCAACTTTTCATGAAGGAAAACACAACATTTCCCACATGTCTATGGACATTTCTAGGGGACTAATGGTGACCTGTGGGAGTGATCGGATTGTGAAGGTAGGTTTACTCTTCTCTACAGGTTACATAACTCACTCTTTTTTACTTTGGGTTTTACGATATTAAATAGTTTATGCACTCAGTCAGTTAAGGAGACATTTTCTTTTGCCTTTGCTAGTGGTTGCAAACACTTAATCAAGCTGGTAACTTGATGCTTTGTGGACAGCAAGAGTTAAGCCTGAGTCAAAAACTTAGTAGTATTTAATTATTGTAGTGAAGGACAAAGACTTTCTAATAATCAATCCCACTATTGTCATTTGGCCTATATGGTGAATAAGCAGGAAATCCCCATGAATTAAAAGAACTGTTTGTATAATTTGAGTAGCAGAGTCTGTAAAGCACCATACATTAAGGAGATATGGTCCCTGCTCCCAAGGAGTCTGAAATCAAAGGGTTCATTGAGCTTCAATCCCATTGAATTTCAATGGGGAACTATTCATGTCATTGAGGTTTGAAGGACTTTCCCTAAATTATGATACAGTAGTTCATTTGTTTTGCACATGGTCAAAGTATGAAGTTTCTATAGATAACTGGGCTCTTCAGACCCTAAGAGGGATGGAGCAGAGTTCTCTATAATCAGTGATTTCCTAGAGATCCTCCAGTCTTAGTGAAACTGTTTTCAGTCTCATACTGATGTGATTAAGACATGAAATTAACTGCTATTTAGAGTCTGAGGCTTCCAAATGAGGAACTTAATCTCAGCTAGCTCTTGCTGATAGCATACATTCAGCAAAGGGGTTTGTCAGCACATGCCCAAGGACTTGCATTTTAAAATGTTTTGCTTTAATGCCCATTGTGTCACTCCATTTGAGATGACTGTAGAGGAAATTAAATATGTCTGGATGCAGTTTTGGGATTTAATTGTGAAACAGTGACCGGTTCAGGCTCACAAATATCAGTTCAAGTCTTTACTTCTCTAATAGAGTATTTCAGCACTGCATCCTGAGAAATCTGTATGTGTTCAATTGCCATGATGCAAATATTATATTAGTGTTGCCAGCTTGATATTCCGCCTTCCATCTGACACTACCCAACTTCCTACTGTCTGATACCTGTCTTCATTTCCTCCTGTTCCCATGTCTCACTATGCTTTGTTTCATCGCTACTGTGGCTGGCTGGGCAGATGAGAGAGGATCTTGACAGTGCCAGTATGTTTGCCCAGTGCCTGCAGGTGTATCCTGCAGTGTCGGAAAGCATGGAACACTCCTGTAACACACATTAGACAAAGCAAGTAGAGTGCCACAAGCAGCAGTTCAGAGCACTGCTCATATAACCCTTGGTCACATGTCCTATCTCTGGCTCTACTGCAGTGATGCTCAATTTCCTTAAGTCATAAAATCTTTTGATCATATGCTATACTGTGGTTACACTTCCTGCAGATACTAGTAATGAAACAGCCCAGTAACTTTTATACTCTTCCACAGACAGGCTTATGAAACAAAACAATTTTGGCTTTGGAAACCCTCTTCATTAGTGTTCTATAGCTCTGTAACAACATGCTGTGCAAGGTAGAATCCTTTCTTCAAACATAGTTTGGCTATGTTGTTGGTTCACAAGGCTAATATAATTTTTAGAAGGTGACCAAGCTGACAATAAACAGCGCTATAATTCAGTATCCTGTTGAATGCTGATTCTTTTAGGGCATATTGTTACACATGTAGCCAAAAGAATATTAGAGTAGGTCTTATACTCTTGATTTTAATACTATATGATGTGCTGAGTAGTTCCCCACATCTTGTTTTTTCTTATAGATATGGGACATGACGCCAGTAGTTGGTTGCAGCCTTGCAACCGGCTTCTCCTCACGCTGACCTAGGACCTGACAGGTTCATGCACCTTATGTACAGCAACATGCACCGAATGAATGAAATCCCTCCTAGGAATATCGTCACAAAAGCACTGATTGCTGGATCCTTTTTCTCTTGCTCTTCCAGGATGGACAGTCGCCTTAATAGAGCAAAGCTCTTCTATAGGCTTCAACGGGAATCACCTTGATGCAGAAATGCAATTTCCCAGCCTGTTGATGTAACATAAAATGGCTTACCTGCAACATGACACTGCGATAAAAGGATCTGTCATAACTTGGTTTACATGTAGTGTTAACAATGTGCTTTCTCTGCTGAAATATCTTGTACAGTAGCTAAAGGATTATCAGTAAAATGAGTTTAGTTTTTTCAAATTTGTGCAAATAGTAAATACTTACTGTCCCTTCCAGTAAGCAGTACCCCATTGAACTCTGCCTGGATGCAGCTGTTTAGGCTGCCTCCAAAAGGAGTATTGGTTATAACTTTGGAAGAAGGAAAGACTTATTTTTTTAAGCAATGTTTGAATTAAGGGGCAGGTGTTCCCTCTGTCTTGAAGTGGCAGTAAGAGTAAATGCTTGACATAAGAGATCCTGATCTACTGGCTTTCTTGGAGTGTCGTCTGCAAGTTCAGTTATTGGTAAAACTACTTTAAAATGATCTGTTCTGTTCAAATAGCTTTCAAGTGTCTGTAAATAATCCCAGGCTTTTAGACATGCTGAAGCTATATTTATTCCCTCTTCTTGGCTAACATATAACTAGTGGACTTTTGTAGCTGTTATTTAGTAGATAAGCTGCACATTCTCAGTAGTGAAGGCAGCCCACGATATGTCACAAATCACACATGCTCATATAGTATGTTTACAGTGCTGTTAAAATGGGGGGCTCTGCAAGCCTGTTGTCTTAGCTATGATCGCTAAAATAAAAAGCCCCTCCTACATAACTTAAATGAACTAAATTTTTATGCGGAAAAGCTTAGTTCCCCATTTATCATGAAGAAACTATATATAGCTATAGCATTAACTTAATTACCACCTTGTCTTTGTTTTGAAGAAAAATTAATGTTAAACATTTCTAAAATTCTCTTCTGAAGCAATAACTACGAAGTTACAGAATATTTCTTGGGAATAGTTGGCCTGAGTGCAGATGAGGGCTGTTAATCTTAAATGCTATGTGCAGTGGTGGTCCTTGCCGTTATAAGCTGAGTGAGGAGGTCTGACGTTTTCGTAGATTGCACGATTCCAGCTGGTATTTACAGTGACCTTTTAGGGAAATATTGCCATGTACATTGGTCTGTCAAGTGCATGAATTACCTACGTTCCATAAATATTAGGATATATGTAATGCCATAAGGTTGTCATACAAGAGCTTATTAAACAGTTTGAAAATGAAATTCATTTAACTTTATAGTGATATGCCATGGAGTCGCAAAGGAGATGGGAGTTCATTGGATTTTCATAAAAACTGATTATAGTGTATTATGTAGTGAGGGAAGAAGTATGTGCAGGTCAGCTCTTTTTGCTGCCATTGGAGGTGATATGTTCATTCTTGCAGAAAAATTGATGAGGTATTGGAAAGAACTGCAATGTTAGCCTTGCAGCAACAACCAAGTGGTGCTGTTGACACTGCTGAATTAAAATCATTGTCCTAAACTTTTGATATGCATTTATAGCCCGCTATAGCTAGTGTATGCTAATATCATGGGATAGTAATGCATCATGATCTTACTCAGTTTGCATTTCAAAAACAATAAGATGGTAGATTTCCATGCCACTAAATACCATCTCTGGTATATTCTGGATTCACATATTTTTGGAACTGGCTTTGACTAACCACTTTATGGGCCCTCTCCAGAAATATTTTGCTAAAGGATTTTTTTTTTTTAGCTTACTAATTCTTCACACTTCTCATAGCTTCCTTCAGAAACTGGCGTCACGCTAGTGTTTGATTGTATTATCCTCTCAAATTTGAAATCTGAATGAGTAAATGCTAATTTAGAGCTTTTGGCAAGTCTGTATTAGAAAAAGAAATACATTTGTTCAGTGATCTGAAACTATTGAAAAGAATATGTTGAATGTTTTACATTTGATGAGTTACATTGATTAGTTCCGTGCTACACGATGGAAGGTTTTAGCGTGAAAACAGAAGTCTTTCCAAAACTATCATATGAAATATCATTTGTGCCAGAAAGGACCTGAAGTTAGGTAATGAGCTCATGTAAATCAGGGATGAAACTGACATTTAGGGGAGAGGAATGAAAACACGGAAGAGAAAATGAGAATTTCGCCCCCTCCCCCCAAACTCTTTTTTGTTCCAATCGCTTGGTTTAATAGTAAAGATTAACAGTAAGAGATCTCTGAAAACATTCTTCTCCGTGGTTCTCTCTACCCAAAAAAAATCAAGATGGGTTATATTTACAATCCTTTTAATCAATACCTTACTTAGATTACATTGCAGCAAAAGTAAAACTTGGGGAGGTTTGGAGCCACATTGTAAGTTATATGCCTCAAAGATTTGGGGGTGAGGACGCACACCACCTATTAACATGAACAGGAGCTATGGACCTGCCTTGGGAAATTAAACTATGTAGATTTGATAATGAATTGTATGATTAAATGCTAGTTGATTTAATTTCATTCTGTCCCCTATGTCAGTCTGTGCTACTGGGATAACCCCTTTCCAGCAAATAAAGAGCTAGCACCCACTAGCATCAACTTCTTTGGATGTTCTCTTGCAAAACAAATTGCCAATTTGGCTATCTAGCACCTCTCCCATATTTAGCATTTAACTTTTCCCTTCCCTGTGAATAATTCTCCCATCCGTGGCAATCACATTAAGGTTTTACCACTAGATAATCTATAATCTGCTACATAGCTTTTAAATTTAACAAATATATTTTCTATAACAAATATGACATTAATGTAGTTATAGCATCACTTAGATATAACAAGGTGATTATGGCTGGCAAAACATCAGTTGGTCACAAAAATAAACCTTGAGATTTAACAAACCAGTCATGCACTGAAGGATATATTGCTTGTGTAAAAAAACCAAACATATTTTTGAAGAAACATACTGTTTTGTGCAATTTAAAATACAATAACTATTCCAGTGAATTCAAATTTGCAATTGTTTAGAAGACTTATTTTGAAGCATTACCAATTTCTTTTGTATGGCCTTCTTTCATTGGAGGAGCAAAGGGCACCATTAATATATTTTAAGTCGTTCCAGCTGTGTTTCTACAAAGTACTGTATCCCACGTAGTTTAGAGATGCTAGATTAATCTTGCTCCTGCTTCTGATTTTTAACTTTGAATACACGTATAATAAAATTTCTTGATAGTCACTTAATTTATTCTGATGACCCATCTTCAATTGGTCTTTATTGTTGTAGGAAATATTGGTAAATAAACTACACACCGTGTTCTTGTGCTTGTGAACAGGTGGAGTAAAGCAGGATCCAGGCTTTTGGCTGGAAGGTGTCCTTTTGACCCATAGTTGGAATCAGATGATTTGTAAAGGTGCCCTATACCCAGAGACTAGCGCACATTGGCAGGATGGAGCCCGTAGCACAGGGGTCTCAAACACGTGCCCCGTGGGGTTATTTTCTGCAGCCTGTGAGCTCCTCGTAGGCCCCCCCCTGCCCTCTTCCAGTGTTTACCTAGAGCCGCTCTGGGAAGCGGATGGAACCTGGGGAAGGAGGGGCGCAGGGGTGTGTGGCTGTTGATTCAGGCACCACCCCCAGCAGCTCCCATTGGCCGCGAATGGGGAACCGCGGCCAATGGGAACTGCTGGGGGTGGTGCCTGAAGCAACAGTCACACACACCCCTGCGCCCCTCCTTCCCCAGGTTCCATCCGCTTCCTAGAGTGGCGCGGAGGCAGGCAGGTAGGGAGCCTGCCCTCCCCCCAGTGCGGTGGGCCGGAGCCTGCCCCCCGAACCCTTCCTGCAGCCAAACCCCCTGCCCTGAGCCCCCTGCTGTACCCCTCACCCCTCCTGCACCCTAATTCCCTGCCCTGAGCCCCCGCCACACCCCTGGGGGCAGGGAGGGGACAGAGTTGGGGTGGGAATTTCAGGGAATGGGTTGGAATGGGGGCTGGGAAGAGGTGGGGCAGGGGTGGGGCCTCATGGAAGGGGCGGGGGGGCAGGTGTCAGTAAATGCAGTCCTTGGGCCAATGTACTAGTCCTCATGTGGCCCTCATGGTCATTTGAGTTTGAGACCACTGAGCAGCTGCTAATTAACTCTAGCCTTGCTGGCCAGAAGCACCTGCACTGCAGAGTGGAGCATTTTGAGGAGAACGCAGACCTCTCCCTTCCTACTCGCTCATTTCTATTGTCCAGTTATGCCAGAAGAGGATGACATCTCCTTGCCCCTAATGGAGTTGCTTCTCCCCCCATCAGGCCATGCTGGGAGTCTTGCTTATTGATTGGCTTACTGTCAAGAAAAGAGCCTTTCCAAAGGTTGGAGGGAAGTGTGCATCCCTCTTGGGTCAAGTATATGGGGGAGAGGGGGGGGCGAGCACTGCACTTCCATTATGTAAAATAATTGGAAATCTATTTGTAAGCGGTGTCAAACCTGTCAGATTTTAAACTCCCTTGATTTGAAAGGCGTAGAACAGTGGTCAACCTCTTCCATAGCAGGATTCCCCTTCCTTTTAGCAGTATATGGGTCACAATCCCCTGACAAGTTTTTTCATGACCCCAGATTGAGAATTCTCTCCCAACAGCTTTGTGTACTGAAGCACTTGCCAGAATGGGTAGTGTTAAGGCTTGAGGCTTCTTTTGTAGTTAAAATGTAGCTGAGCTCTCTACTCTGTTGGTATTCGGTGCGTAAGATGCAATTAGACTAAGCCCGAGGACTCTACATTTTTATTTTATACTGTATTGTTCTTCCTGTTGGTTCTGAGAAGAATCTTGTTAACCATGCAATATAGTACTTCTAATGTTTCATCAACAAGACTATTACATAAAATGACCAGTTTAGCTTATGATTTCTATTACTCTCTCCCCACCCCCTCTGAAAACAATATTGGTAGGTCCTGCAGCAGCTCTGGGCTGTATGTAAAAATGTCTTTGCTCTTCAGTTCAATAGGGGGGGAAATTGGCTGAAAACAGGTGGTCAGCTCCCACCTCAACCTTCCTGTAAGTTAAGTTTTAGCTAACATGATCTTATTTAATGAGACCTGCGGTAACCGCTGCAGGCTGTGCCATAAGACAAGTCTGTGTGTCTTGTTTGTAAATGTGATCATACTTTGTATAGTACCTTGATCTGACATTTCAGTGCTAGGCTTTCAGGTTCCACCCTCACCATATATTATTGCAAAACATATTTAGTACTTTGGTGTGTGAAATAAACCATCAGGCATAGCTTTAAAAGAAATGCACAGACTTAGAATACCTATACTCACCTCAAACAGGATCCTGAATTACAGCAACTTTCCCCTAGTGCACTAGATGGGTTATGTTCTGTCATATCCACAACCAACCAACTTTAGAAGAGTTCTTCAAAAAAATTTATTTTTATGACTGGGCTTAAAAAAATGCTAGATTCACACTGGCTTAGTTAATCATGAGAAGAATTTTCATGTATCTGAACTCTACAGGAAACAGCAAATCACTGCCAACTTATACTAATGACTATAGTAGCACTGCCCTGAAAACAATGATGAAATGCCTGCTCTTTTATTAAGTCTGTCCTCTGAGGCTTTCTCCTAGATGTGTTAGGGGAATATCAGCTGCAACAATCAATCCTAGTGAGCCCTTCGTAGGACCTGTACTGGAGGTGGCTTTATAACTGCACATATACTAGTAGTTCAACTGATTAGCAGGGGGAAGCCCACAAGTGGTTTGGCGTGGGCTGATCCCTACCAGGACCTGGGTGTGCAACTCATGTTTTTCATTCAAGTTCATCTGCAAGTATCTGCTTGAAAAGTGTGTACACAGGTATCTACACAAAATCCCAGAGAAGGTGGAGTTGAAGCCCCTCTGACGATCTGGCCCTAAATCTCATTTTTTATGGAGAACATTGAACAATAAAGTGACACTTATTTTTAGGAAACATCCTATATTGCCCTGAAT